AGGGAAGGTGAGTGTACTTTCTTGGCTTGTTGAGTACGGCTGCAAATTCATTGCATCCTTCTAAACATTGTAAGACATTAAAGCTAAATATTCTGTCTGTGTATTGTTATGCACACACTTGGCCATGTTTAGCAATAATATAAGCAGGGATTACTTTAGTGACTGCATCACATTATATATATTTTATGAAGCACAAGCAGATGGATCTAGGACATCTGGAGTTGGGATTCGTGTGTCTCAGAACACTTACGGCAGAGTAAGCTTGTTCTCCCTTTTCCCTGTGCTTCCCTGTTACTGCTGTTCCTGGTAAACATGACTCGTGCTCTTTGCTTACTTCTTATAGGTGACATTCATTTCTAAGGGCTTTTCTGACCACTGTGTGTATTTTGATGTTACTTAAATACTTACTTTTGTAACATGTAGCCTTGCTAGAGCTTTCCTTTACCGATGGTCCCTAGATGGTATATCAGGCTGCAGTACTCTAGAACTCGCTCTCTTCTGGTTTGCTGGATTCTCAGTCCTTAGCTTCTTTGTCAACCTTTTTGGTATGGGTGTTCTGTTACCCTCTCCTTTTGAGAGCTGGATTTTGCCATGCAGCTGCAAAAGCACTTCTCCATCTAGAGGTAATCCAAAGATCTCCATGTGGTTTAACCACTAATTTTTCAAGAACTAAAGCTAGGTATTTATCTCCTTAGTAACATAACACATTGAATAGAGACCTTCTCTGCAGAGCCTTCTAAACACAATTTCTCATAATACTTGTTTCTGGATGAAAGCGGGCAGCAAGTTGTATGCCTTGTATCTTGCTATACACTTGTCAGTGCTCAGGGTCATTTTTTGATGCATGTTCAGGATTAACTGCATGGAAGTCTTTGGCGATTCAGGACATTGTATTGTTTCTGAAGTGGGGTAGATTTGGCAAAGCTCTGACAAGAGAGTGTTACACTCAGCATGTCATAAACCATTCGTGATACAGTATTTGTTAATAGCCAGAGCTTAAATTGCCTGTAGCGTGAGTCTTCAGATAATCACAGTTTTAGTGTACTTCACCACAAAATTATTAGCTCATATAATGAGGGTTGTCTCTTTCTCCAGATACCCTTCTGACCATACTTTAGTTTATCTTACAGTTGATTGAAAGTCCCTCCTTTCTTGACTCCAGATCAGGTAGATGGTTTCACTCCCATGGCGCAATGCCAGGAAAGCAGTCTTATTTGAGCTGTGTATAACAGTGTTTTCAGTTCTCCTGGCATACAGTCCTTTGAAGCAGCGTAGCAGTCAGCATAAAGAAGTAGGACAAATGAAGGCTTTGAGCAGTGTGCCACTGAACAGAAACACTGAAAGATCTCAGAGGTAAATGGCAGGCAAGGAATGCGTAGTGCAAGCAGTTACCACCTCTGCTGCGCTGTGGAGCATGGAGATAATGCCACCATCAATTTCATCCTCTACTTGCATAGGGAAAGGTTTATAAAAGTCACTGGGACTCTTTGGGTAGAGCAACACATGTACTTACTTGGAAAGCAATACCAATTTGAGCGGCTCCTGCTCTGCTGCATCCTTGTTGACTATGCCGTGAATTGAACTGGGGAACTGATTTGTTGGAAAAATAATTTGGCAGACAGGTTTATTTTTAACTAGGGTCAGTTATAATTGTTCAGTGGAAGGGCTAACACACAGTGGGAATTCACTGCTGTAGGTTGCAGTGAAAGGAGGGACTGGAGCTTGTCACTGCTGTTTAAATAAATGTATGTGTAACTGTGTGCTTGGGCTCCATGCCCAGGTTTTATGAGACTGGATAGAAGCTGGAATAGGGAAGTGGTTCTGTTTATTAAATAATTAAAACTTGTTATGAGCAACTCAAGTGCAGATAATTGTGCTGACTGACCATTTTTTCCTTTCTGTTGAGTCATTCTGGTGGCTTAGAGAGATTATGAGTGGGTTTTTTGTTTCTTGTGGGCTTTTGGTGGTGTTTTTTTTTTTTTGGAGGGAAGTGTGGATGTGTACCAACACTTTCAAAACTGAAACTGGACGGAATTGCTATTGCTTATCTAATTTCTGTATAGGGTTGGAAAAGTAGAGAAAGGGGAAAAATGCAACCCAGTGTTGCAGCTAAATTAGAGTATTCATCTTCAGTTTTGCAGTTTCTTGCATTTCTAAGAATGCATTAAGTTAATTTGCTTAGTTCTTATATTAAAGCATTGATGTATTGTAATTGAACAGCATTTCAATTGCATGAATAGTTTCTTTTTATATCCTTGAGAAATTGCATCACATGGGATGAACCGTGCATGTGTGTTTTGCTTTTGTTCTAGAATAAATGTTGATCAAAATCTGAGAAGTGTTCTCAGGGGGTCTGGTACCTGCAAAAGATTTGCTCTTACTTTCTCTGATCACACTTGTTCAGGAGCTTATGTGCTCCTATTATGTTGATCTAAAGCAATGAATATAAACAACTGTGCTAGCTGATAACTTGCTCAGTAGTCCATGTAGTTTATGAAGCAGATAAAATGTATCTTAATTTTTTTTTTTACTGTATTGTATTTGCTTTGGTAATGAAATATCTGTCAGCTTGTTGCCAGTTGATACTTGCAGCTTATTGTATCATTTGTGTTAGTATATCAATTCTGCAGCATATTAAAGTAGTAAATAAGAGAAGTGTTTTGGACTGCCCAGTCTACACCACCTCTTTATTTATAGTAGGTGCTTAATAATTGTTAATTTTTTTTTTCTTAGCTTTAAAACTGAACAACTTCTGGTTTGCTTAAAAAAAAAAAATCAAGCAGAAGAGTTCTTAGTGTTTCCTTTGTGATGCTTTTACAGAGTTCAATAAATATCCCTGTTGCAATTTTTTTTTTCTTACTCTCCAAATTTTCAATTTTGTTTCTCAGTTTGTATGCAGTTACTTGACTAATTTGAGAATACCTTTCCGTTCATCCTGACTGAAAAAGAAACAGCAAACATGATATGAAAGAGATCTGGATATAACTGTGCAAAATGTATTGTTGACTTCAGGAACTCTAAAGTTCTAAAGAGCCTCAACTCTTCTACCTTAATTCTCAGAAGTAACTGAAGGCCATGCTGTTATTAGAGAACATAAAGAAACCTGTTAAAAATTCAGCGTGGCCGTAGAAGATAGTATTATGCACTGGTAAATGTCATGTAAAGGAATATGTTTTTTAGAGACCAGAAGATATTAACAGGCTGCAACTACTTTGAAAGTCATGGGCTGACATGTTGCATTATCTTCACATAGTGGTAGTTGTGCTTACTAAAATGTGGCTTGTCTTATAAAATATATTCAGGGCCAGCTATGTTAAGATTTCTGTTAGTTCAATTGTACAACTTGATAGTGCGATAGTAACATGATATATTATAGCATAGCTCATGTGGATTATCTACACTTAATATTAAGAACTAACAGGAAATGTTTGCATAGACAGCAAACTATCTACCAACAGTTGTTGGTAGATATTTAAAAAAATACAGTATTTGTGGCTGAAATTGAAGATCCATATATTCAATCTGAGTATATTTTCCTGTGAGGATATCATCTAGCAATTGTTGAGTGATACAGGTAATTTAAAAAGAACCCAAAAGTTTAGTGAGCGTTCATTCTCTGCATTGGTCGGCAACAAGAAAAGAAGAACGGTGTAAGAAAAAGCCCATAGCATCTGGTTGGCATCCATTCTCAATCATTTCTGTAATTGTCTACAGTTTAAAGGAACAGGTGATAATAGTTATTGGCACCTTCCAGCATAAGAGTACCCTGACATCTTAGTTGTCCTTTTTCAGGGCTGAGTAGGGTTTTGGGAAGGTCATTGGGGCACATTGTATGGGTGTAGTTCTACAGCTTTGTGTTGGTATGAAACACAGCCAGAGTGAGAAATATTTATTTTCAAAAATTAGCATTTACCTACATTCCATATAAAATGAAGGCACTAGCCTTAAAAGGAATGGCTTACTTGACAGACTTCAGTAAAATTCTGTAAACTAGTTAGGAACCATTGGGGTGTTTGTATTTCTGCATGCTATATCATCTGCCTACAGATAACAAGTAGCAAGCTATCCCTGACGAATACATTTTTCACAAGCTTTGTGATAAATAATCATTTGGCTATTTTCTGCACACCTTTATCCCTTGCTTTTTGTTCAGTGGTTTTTTGGTTTTGTTTTGTTTTTTTTTTTTTTGTTCTTGCAAAGAAGCTCTTAATTCATCCTCTCTAATTTGTAAATTGCCGGCAATGAGAAACTAATAATAGTGCAATTAGGAATAACTGGTGCACAAAAGTTTGATACTACTAATTGTAGACTTAGCAGGCATTTCATATGTAGGAAATTGAGAAATAAAGAAAACATGGCATTACTTTCACCTCTTTCCAAATGTAGGACTGTGATAGTTTGTTGGGCAAACTGTGTAAAGAACTTAAGGGCATGGATGTTGAAGGAATAGCTCTAGCCTTCTGTGGTAGAGAAAGGGCTATGTCTTTTTTCCAGGGAGGTATTCTGGTATGTGTCGTCTGGTCCAGTGGTGACCACCGTTACCTTTGTTTTGACAAAGGTAATGCATAATGTGACAATAATCACTAAGATAATACATATTAAATGTATTAGTTGTATTTTGCAGAAACTGTGCAGCAGTGTTTATGAAGGATGTCAACACATAAAGAGTAGTAACTTTTGATCGACAGGCAAGAGAATATTGCATATTCCGCCATCTGATCTGCATCAGTCAGCCCCTTCTCTAGTTTTGCAGCTCACTTGCTCCAATTGGACTCTAGATGTGTGAGAATCTAGCTATATGGATCAAGTTAGTAGATAAGAGTTTTGAATTGTAAATGCTATTGGGCATATTCCTGTGTTAAAATAGCTGTGTTAAAATGTATTAAAATACACTGTCTGTATTATTTATAATAATCATTATGAAATGATCATGTTTTAAATAGTTCAAATATATAGACTCTATACATATACCTGAAAATGGTTTTCTGTTTTCTTGCAGCTAACAGAAGATGAAATTGCAACTATTCTGAAATCTACTCTTAAAGGACTTGAATACTTGCACTTTATGAGAAAAATACATAGAGATATAAAGGCTGGAAACATCCTTCTTAACACCGAGGGACATGCAAAATTAGCTGATTTTGGTGTGGCTGGCCAGTTAACAGTAAGTACCTGTGGAAAGATCACTTAAAAATGCTTTAATGCACCTAACCATATTCTTTTACTTTTCTTTTTTCTTCTGCCTTGAATTTTGTGTCTGAGGAGTTACTAGTGCTAGTGGTAGAGCTAACATTTTTTATCATGATGAGTATTTATTGCAAGGCTATTTAGTTTTTAGTTGTTTATTTTTATAACCCAGTGTACTTCAAGTGCCTGATGATCCCACTTTAAACTCTTGTTTGAGGTTTATGATCGTTGTCACCTGTTTGGCCTCTGTAGGCTGATGGGCTGAATCTGTTTGGTCTTAATTGGAAGTCACTACTGTTTGACCTTTGGGTGGCTAATTTAACTTTTAAATATAGAATTAATATTAGAAGAATCTGAAAATAAGCATCTCTGGTTTAATTGGATAAATAATATAATTACAGGATACAATGGCAAAACGTAATACTGTTATAGGAACTCCGTTTTGGATGGCTCCTGAAGTAATACAAGAGATTGGCTATAACTGTGTGGCAGACATCTGGTCCCTTGGTATCACTTCAATAGAAATGGCTGAAGGAAAACCTCCGTATGCTGATATTCATCCAATGAGGGTAAGTGTGTGTGGTGGTGTTTTCCTGTTTGTTGTATTAAAAAACCAAGAAACTAATACTGGAATCATAAAACTGTATGTTTACGGACAAAGATTTTAAGACTAAGGATTTTTACTTGCTGTCTTGCTTCCTATTTACTGCAGTTTGCCTGTGTTTTAACACATCTCTGTAAGGTTTCAGAATGCTTTTATCTCCACTTGAGAGAAAACTAAATCAATAAGTGCTTAATTGACTTGAAGGCAACATATAGAGCCTATTCCATACTGTACCTGCACTTGGAGACTTCCATAACCCAAGAGGTCATCCTCCTTTGAAAAGGAGTTTTGAAGTAAAGATGACCTGAAGAAGGATTCAGAATTTGATTTCAGCGAAGCCACCGAGGCGAAGGGCTCCGGAGCGGAGGATCGCGCCGGGGGACCCTTCCTGAAGCGGCAAAACCCGCGAAAAGCAAAAGCACAGGGAGTGAGAGGGTGCCCCAGCCCCCCACCCCGAGCCGGAGGAGGGAGCCCCTGACGAGCGGCAGCTCTGACTCAGCGTGGGCGGGGACAAGAGGGGCGGCGGCCAAACCTCCTCACTTACAAGAGCAGCCCCCAGGGGGCGTGGCGCGGCAGAAGGGCGTGGCGCGGCAGAAGGGCGTGGCGCGGCAGAAGGGCGTGGCGCGGCAGAAGGGCGTGGCGCGGCAGAAGGGCGTGGCGCGGCAGAAGGGCGTGGCGCGGCAGAAGGGCGTGGCGCGGCAGAAGGGCGTGGCGCGGCAGAAGGGCGTGGCGCGGCAGAAGGGCGTGGCGTGCAGGGCGAAGTCACCCTCCTGGCCCTA